GATCAACAAACTATTGGTAAATTTTCTGTTTCCGCCTACTGATTATCTCAAGCCTGGCACTCCTTTTAAAAACCTCAATAGAGGCAGAGTTTCTAATATCATTTCTAATATCATTGGGAAGACAATTGTGAGCTCCCATACTGGCTTTTTAGAGTTTTTTTTAAATTCTATCTTAGTATTTTTAGACCTTAGATTTTTAAATATATATATATGTATATATATTTTTTGTTAGAAAGATTCAAACCCATCGAGCACTCTTTGGACATTTATTCTTAAACATACGCTGTGTCACAGTTCACAAGGACGAGCGCGAGAAAAGAACAGAACAGTACTAATATATCAAAAACCACATGTCAAAAATTAGCCAATGAGAAACGTTCATTAAACAGCATAAATTATCATAAGCCTAACACTCCCACTGGATGATTATGCTGTTCAGTAAAGATAATACCTTGTCTAGAATCATAGAGCTAAATAATCATCCTCACACAACATCATGCACGCCTAATAAATCTCTCAGTTTCTCAAAAGTAGGTTTTGGAAGTCCCTTTGTCATAATGTCTGCTACCATTTCCTCAGTACAACAATAAATCACTCTAATTTCATTAGAAACAACTCTTTCTCGAACAAAATGATGACAAATGTCAATGTACTTAGTTCGGCTATGGTATTTGGCATTCTTTGCCAACTCAGTGGCTTCTTGGTTGTCTTCATAGATGGTAGTCGGGGCATCCGTCTGTTTTCCAAAGTCTTTCGTTAGACGACGTAGCCATATAGCTTCTTGAGTAGCTGAATTCAAAGCAACATACTCCGCTTCAGTCGAGAACTTAGCAACTGTGGGTTGTTTCCTGCTGGACCAACTGATGGTACCATTTCCAAACTGAAATACATAGCCTGATGTTGATCTACGAGTGTCAACATTTCCTGCCCAATCCGCATCACTGTAGCCATTTAATTCTGTTTGCTGTCCATGAACAGAGAATTTCAGGCCATAATTCAAAGTTCCTTTGAGGTATCGTAGAACACGTTTCACACCCATCCAGTGGTCTTTGCTGGGCTTTGACATATACTGAGACAAGACTCCAACTGCTGCAGCAATATCCGGTCTGGTTGCTGTTGACATGTAGGTCAAACATCCAATTGCCTGTTGATAGGTCTGAATATCAAAGGGCTCATCACTTGAAGATAACTGCTGAAACTTTCTTCCAGGCTCAAGTAGAGTAAAGACAGGTTTGCAGTTTTCCATTCCAAACTTCCTTAGCACTTTCTCTGTGTAGTTGAGTTGACTTATTGTTAATGTTCTCGACTCTCTGTCTCGCTTGATTGACAAACCAAGAAGATAATGAATCTCTCCCTGATCAATCATCTCAAATCTTTCACATAATGCAGCTTTCTCTGCTTTCAGCATTGCAGGGTCGTTTGAAACTGGAATTATGTCATCGACATACACACCAAGTATCACGAAGCTGATGTGACCATTAGCGTCCTTCACAGACTTCACATAAATACATTCGTCAGCCTTGCTTTTGCAATAGCCAACTGATTTCAAATACTCATCCAGAGTAGTGTTCCAACAACGAGCTGACTGTTTAAGTCCATAAATGCTCTTCTTCAGTTTCCAAACATGATTTAGTCTGTCAGGATCAACAAATCCTTCTGGTTGTGGCATGTAAATTTCACAGTCCAATGAACCGTTCAAAACGGCAGTTTTTACATTCATTTGGTGTATCTCCAAATCGTGTGCGTTAGCTAGGGCAAGTAACGATCTCACAGACGTATAACGAGCCACTTGTGAAAATACTTCTTCATAATCTACACCTCTGACTTGGGAATAACCTTGCGCATTAAGTCTGGCCTTAAAACGATCTATGGAACCATCTTCATTACGCTTGACTTTCAAGACCCAGCGAGATCCAACAATGTTCTTTCCTTCAGGTGGAGGTACTGGTTCCCATGTATCATTCTTTATTAAAGATGAGTATTCAGACTTCATGACTTCTTTCCACTGGTCCGAATGTTTACCATTCAATGCTTCGTGAACTGTGCCTGGATCGTCAACTTCTGAGTCAACAAATAGGCAATCATAATCTTGAAATCTGCTAGGCATTCTTCGCTGCCTCACTGGTCCTAAGTTTCGGACTTCTTCCATAAATGCATCTTCATATGTTCTTCTAACTGGTTCTTCTTCACTCAAGCTCTCTCTGGGCAGTGCTCTCACTTTTTCAGCATTCTGCACAGGTGCGGGTTCAACATACTCTTGAACTGGAGGTTTAACATTGTCTTGAACTTGAGGAGCTTCAGGTAAGAGAGGTACGGGAACACTTTCATTTTCTTGGTTCATATCTGGGTAAATGAACTTCAAATCTGCTTGGCCAGCATCATCTGATTTGACCTTCTCGTCGGAATGATGAAAGTTCTCTTCAAATAATTGAACATTTCGACTTACAATAAACTTCTTCTCCAAATCATACAACCTGTAACCCTTAACACCAGGAGGATATCCAGCAAAAATTTCTCTGTGGGCCTTAGCATCCAGCTTTCTACGCTGACTATCTGGAACATGTACATAACTCACGCAGCCAGACTCTCAGATTAGAAATGTCTGGTCTTCTTCCAAACAAACGCTGAAATGGAGTTTCGTCTTTCAACGCTGCTGTTGGAGTTCGATTGTGAAGGTAAACGGCTGTGCTGCAGGCTTCTGCCCAAAAATCCAGCGGTAATTTGGCTTGGTAGAGGATCGATCTTGCTCCCTCCATTATTGTGCAATTCAATCGTTCAGCAACACCATTTTGCTGTGGACAGTATGGAACAGTGAACTCGTGCAAGATTCCCTTGTCTGCACAGAATTTAGTGAACTTGTCAGAAGTGTACTCTCCTCCATTATCACTTCTGAGGACTTTGACATCTTCCTCTGCGAGAATGTTCAGCTTCATAATCTGATGACCAGAATGTTTCTCAACAGAATTTACATACTCCATGAATTTTGAAAGCACTTCACTGTTGGATTTAATGAAGTAGGGAGTGGTATATCGTGAAAAATCACCTGTGAATGTTAGCATATATTTACTGCCACCTTTTGATTCCACTTGCATTGGGCCACATACATCACTGTGTACAATCTCATATGGTCTGGTTGCCCTGTGTTGGCTCTGTTTTGGAAAGGGCTTCTTCTGCATTTTGCCAAGAACACATGCTTCACATTCTTTCTGGGATGTGTGTCAACATCATAGTTCAGGCCATCAACCATTTCTTTCTTCATCAACTGATTCATATAGGTTTAATTGAGATGACCCAACCTGAGGTGCCAAACGGCAGGTGATGGTGCACTATTTGCTGTTGAAACTTGCGCGTACTCGGCAGAATTGACTATGTACAGCTTGTCACGCAATAGACTTGCAATAACAAATTCTTGGCTATTCTTCCGTACTAAACATTTATCCTTGTCAAAGTAAATTTCTGCTCCCATCGATGCCATTGCAGGTACCGAAAGTAATAAGTTCTTGGTCAGTTTTGGTACAAACAACACTTGATGCAAGTCAAGGACAATTTCACGGGTTCTGTTTACTGTTGGGAGTTTGACTTTTCCTTCGCCATGTGCAAGAATTGTGCTGTCTCTCAGGTAAATACTTTTTGGTTCTTGGTACTGAACATAGTTCTCTAAAATGCTTTTGTTGTTCGTCATGTGCTTTGTCGCTGCTGAGTCAATAAACCATTCATTTGACTGATTCATCGTGCTTGAGATTCGTGCAATTCCTTCGAGTTCGGCCATATTGGAACTTTCTCTTCCACCAGTGTTCTGTTTGTTGTTGTATGGACGGTTCTTTACGATATGTCCATCCTGGTTGCACTTGAAGCACTTAACACCTCTGTGTTTATCATCATGGCTGGACTGAGCATTGAAGTTAAAATTCTGAAATCAGCCATCGCGACCGCGACCGCCACCAGCTCCACCACATGGTTGAAAACTACCGCAGTACGACGATTTTCCTCTACTGACTAAAAGTGCATTATCAGATTCTTGTTTCTCGTTCTTCTCAGTCCGCTTCATATATTCAATCAACAGTCCTGTTACGTTTTCCCAGTCGAGATCATCGGCGCTTCGGGCGTTTAAACTTGTCAAGAAATTATCATACGAGTCGGGTAAACTTCCTAACACGACCGTAGCAAATTTCTTTGATGAAATTTCTTCATTTATTTCTCGTAATTGTTCCGCTAGAGAAGTCGTGTGAGTCAAATGTTGCATCAAATCTGCGCCTTCCTTCATACTTGCTGCATAAAACTTGCGATTAAGACGAACAATCTGAGTGACTGACACAAATTCGAATTGCTTCTGCAAAATTTTCCACGCAGCGAGCGGGTCTGTCACCTACGATATGTGAACTTGCAAATCCTTTTCCACGTTCAACGCAATAAGCGAATAAGCTTTGTCAGATCGAAGGCGAAAAGCATTCTTTACAACTACAGATGCATCGGCTGCAGGAGGAGTTTCTTGGCCTTCTTGAGTGAAACCCCACAAACCACGCTCCATTAAAACGAGCTTCACGTTGTACTTCCATGACTGGTAATTTCTCCCGTTCAACTTTTCGATCTTTGTGATCTCTGTCAACGACATCTCCGCCATTCGCTTCGGCAAAATAACAATCACGTAACTTACAGCATTGGTTTAACGTCCTGGGCCCATAACCTGTTAGAAAGATTCAAACCCATTGAGCACTCTTTGGACATTTATTCTTAAACATACGCTGTGTCACAGTTCACAAGGACGAGCGCGAGAAAAGAACAGAACAGTACTAATATATCAAAAACCACAAGTCCAAAATTAGCCAATGAGAAACGTTCATTGAACAGCATAAATTATCATAATCCTAACATTTTTTAAGCTTTGTAACTAATTTATCTCGGTACGTTAACCTGATCATTGTAAAGCGCTATGAAAGAGTAGCTGAATAGCGCTATA